ATGGACTCATCCATCTTGACTCACGACGGGGAAGGCTGTTGTTGGTTTAGCATCCAGGAAACAGCAGAAAACGTCTCGACCAGTAGAAGCTAAGACGGGGGACGGGGGAAAAATAGTAGAAGCTAACTTAGCATTAGCAACTCCACCACACGGCAGAACTCCTTCAGCCTTGTGTTATTAGTGAAGATAAAATATCAACGTTGTCTGTGGGAGAATTGCACTGCTGTTAGCCAATCAGAGGCAAGACATCCAAATATCAGGAAAAAAAGACGCTGATTCCTGCCGTGTGACGCTCAGTTCTGATGTGGTCACTTCTACAGTAGTTCCTGAGCACCAGAGCTTTTTCCCCCTGAGTTCGACTTACAAGGCCTGATTCCTATCAGAGACTTCTGCAAATGCATTGATGAAACGAGTGTTGCACGTAAAAAGCCAGAAAATTAGCACGGCTATTATTTTGGGCTGCTAAAAATAAAATCAGCAGTATTTTCGTCCTGGCTTGCAGTGCCGCTTCTTATCTGCCGTGAATGTTTTTCCCAGCGGTGAAATAATGTCAGAGAAGCAAAGTGATAGACGCCACAGGGTAGCTATAAAAGCACACGGAGATGCACGGCAGTGAAGCTACAAGGCCATTAACCTCTCTGCTTGCCTTCTTGCTTGGTAACAATAGTCAGGTTTAGTGCAGGCTCATTTCTCACAGCTAACACCACACTCAGGAAAGCCTAATGTTCATTTGACGACTTGGCGAAACAAAACATGTTTATACTTCCTCTCCCTATTGTTAAGCCTCACCTTGAATGCACTCCTCTGCTGCTTTTCCAGCTCTGAGATACTTTTTATGAACATTAATCACCGCTCCCTTTAACTAAATTGGGGGATTGTTAATCTAAGTGCATTTTAATGGAACACTTCAGAAGCAACTCCCTCAATTACATCAACTCTTTCCAGTGTGGTTCCCATTAAAAACAAGCTTTCATTCAGGGCGGGGGGAACCCACAGAAGCAGAGAGAAATAAAGAATTAAGGGAGCCTCGGCTAATCAGTTTCACCTGCCAAAGTGAAAGCACACACCACAGACTGCTGTTTATTACCGTATTTTATATCAGACACATGGCTCTGTTTATGAAACATCATGCTACGGTTTGACATTATGAGTACTTATTTAGCGATTGTTGGAGAGGGGGCATTTGGCACGCTCTCTGGTTGCGAGTGGCTATGGTAAATAGTGATGTCACACTGGTTTAACTCAATCAAATTTTTAGCCAGTTTGAGAAAACTTCCTCTCTAACCTCGACTTACACAAATGACAATCAAAGACAGAACTTTTGGAAGCTGCAAGCCTAACATCTGCGCAGCGTTGAGAATCAAAACAAGAGTCAGACACTGCAAGGCTCTGAATGGGCTGATGTCATGGAGATCTGACCGTCGAAGGGTATGTTTGTACTGATGCTGGAACAAATTACAGCTTGCTTTGAAAAATGCGCAAAGGAAATGCTCTGGATAGACAGGATTACCTTGCTTTGATTTTGTTTAGGTCTTATTTTTCATATAAAAATCATGATTTTGTTTAATTTGTACACAAGAAGACATGAGAGTTGATATTCTGGCATCGTTTTGCTGCTTCAAGACTTGGTGAGTATTTGGACCCACAGACAATCTGCTAAAAAACAAAAACACACACAAGTAACATTGCTTTGAGAATATTGGTTAAATGTTAAATTTGTAACTATCGGTTGGCATTAAATATTTTCTCGTTTAGTAATTAGTCTGATGCTGCCATAATACAACAATGAGTTTGATCTAAGAATTCTCAGCATATTCGTCTCACCCCCAGAACTCGTCTGTCTTCTTAAACGCAAACCTTCTCACATCGTTTTGTTGTACAAAGTCCAGATCATACCTAGAATATTCTGTAACCCCCAAAACATTTCTTTGGCCAATCCCACTTCTGTTTTGAGAAAGCCACTCAAAGATATCTGGACTATCCTGCAATGCTTAAAATCCCATAATCCCACAATACTACCTGTTTTGCACAGCGACATCAATGATTAAGTACAATCTGATTGTAAGAATTAGATTCTTTACAGTTGGCTTTGTGATCGCTCTTAGCCTGACGAGAATCATTGCCTTCTCAATCAATCATTTCTCCTTCATAACAAAGCCAAATAGTGTATTTTTTATTTTCAGAAAGCAGAATTGGTCACCTTGATTATGGCTATTAACATGTAAAGCTTGCTAAATGTGTGTGTAGCACCAGAAATAGGTGTAAAAATCACTAGAAATATTTCCTGTTACTCAGGACTCTAGTTTGGAGTTTGAAGTGATGCCAGGTATTTACCGTATTGACCCGAATATAGGACGACCGCCCTTTCCAAGACTAATCTTCAGGTAATGACAAAAAAAAAAATTATAATAATAAAAAAATCACTTTTTATTTAACTATTTTTATTGAAAATTTGAGAACAAATACTGAGCAAAAGTCCTATTTTAAAGCTAACTATTAG